AGCGTTCGAAAGGCTAACACTAACACTCCAGAGTCCAGAGCGTTAAAGCCCCTTGACACTAAATTACAGGCTGACCGCAGAAAAAAACCCTACGTCAAAACAGCCGCGATGATTCTGCGAGCGTTAGCGTTAGCCTATCGAACAGGGCCGAGGTCTTCCCTGGACTGGAGAATGGAGACTTGGGGGGATCGAGCATTCCTCCAAACCCCGTACGCTTCCTTTGCCCAGACACCCTATATGGTTTTTTATTCGACTTTACGGGCACCCTGACATTACAGGTCTAACAATAAATACGGTAATCAGAAAGCCAGACTCGCGATACTCACACTTACAGTAGGATTGAGTGGGAAATCACTTCTGATATGTTTGTACTTCCGAAAATCACGCAAAAAGAGTGCGTCTTTATAATCCCAAGAACTCGAATCTTGATGCTAACCACCTTCGAAATCAAATTTGATGAGGAAGGTTACCCAGGGGCGTGAAGAAGTATCGTAGTACATGTCATACTGTTTTTCCAACGCTAGATGCTAAGACAAGTCAGCCGCGCACGGGGACGAGGGCAGGTGAAGCAAGATGAGCATTCAGTGACGCACATGATGATCCAATGAATATATATCACACAGCTTGCAGATCGGGAGAAAAAAAACGTGTGGGTGGTTGGAGGTACGCGCACAAGGAAATGCGCAGAGCAAACTCTGCAGATCCGTAGTGTATTATGCACGGATGGCATCACAAAAAATATTTAAAAATCAATTAGAGTACATATCAAAACTCTGAACCGTGCCTGGGACAGGAAGGCAAAGAGCTGTACAGTTTTGAACCGGTGGGAAAGTCTAGACGGTGCACATCTGAAACCCTGATGCGTGCCCGTGACGAGGAAGATAAGAACAGGATTCAACTGACGGGATTGGCTGACCACTTGCGCTTGTCCACTGTCCGCACAAATTGTTCCACCACCCCTCCCCCACCAGTGTAAACCAGAAGCACAAAACCAGCCCATTTGGGGTTGAGCAACAGAAGCTGAAATTGTGTAGTGGCAATCCATTCAATCTTTCTAGTTTGTTCAGCAGCCAGTTGCACCAAGGTCCGAGTTCTGTTAGTATTACTACTACTAGTAGGCGACTCATAGTTATTACGGTATCCCGCTCGAGCCACAGGGCACACCGTGAGTGTGAGTGCTCCCCGTGGTGGCAACAGTTGGGCGAAATACTGGGGATTTAACCAATTCATCTCCTTCAGTTTTGGCCATGAAATTAGACCAGCAGCGTGATAAATCCAGTCTCTCTCTTCTTGGAATTTATGGGGGTAGACCTTCAGTTCTGACTCACTAGTAGTACTAGTACTAGTAGGAGCCGCATCAGACCTCCGTTTTCCGGGAGAGCTTCTGAAAATAGGTGATAACCCGCCGGGACACCTAGTAGATGCAACAGAAGCAGCAACTGCACTGCTGGCATGCAACCGGAGAAGATGTCACAGCATCAGATGTCACAGCAACAGATGTCACAGCAGCAGATGTCACCGCAGCAGATGTCACAGCAGGAGATGTCACAGCAGCAGATGTCACAGCGACAGATGTCACAGCAGCACTAGTCACAGCAGCAGATGTCACTGCAGCAGATGTCACAGCATCAGATCTCACAGCAGCAGATCTCACAGCAACAGATATCACAGCATCAGATGTCACAGCAGCAGATGTCACAGCAGGAGATGTCACAGCAGCAGATGTCACAGCAGCAGATGTCACAGCAACAGATGTCACAGCAGCACTGGTCACAGCAGCAGATGTCACAGCAGCAAATGTCACACCATCAGATCTCACAGCAGCAGATCTCACAGCAACAGATGTCACAGCATCAGATGTCACACCAGCAGACGGCACAGTAGTAGACGGCACAGCAGCAGACGTCATTACAGCCACAACCACAGCCACAGCTACAGTCACAGCCAGAGCTACAGGTTCAGCCAGAGCAGCTACCACCACACCGGATCCAGCAGCTCTCCTCTCAGCTACAGCCGCTGCTTCGGCCGCATTTGCCGGAAGCACTTGAACAGGATGAGGCTGCCACTGGTGCTGGGCCATCAGGGCCATTGGGGTCATTTGAGCCATTAACGCGTGGAACCAGGCGCACCAGATTGCCACAGAGCCGCAACTACAACCAGCCAGGGCGGTACCAGGGAGTTCGGAAGCGGGGGGAGTTACGTTACATTGCAGAGATCAAAGATACCAATAGCGGGGTCCGCCAGTGGTTGGGTACGTTCCGTTCTGCAGAGGACGCTGCTAGGGCGTTTGATGAAGCTGCTCTGAAAATCCGAGGAGCAAAGGCGAAGCTTAACTTCCCAGGACGGTATCTTCAGAAAGGGGGAGGGGCAGTAGCACTGGGCTCGGATCATGCTGCCTCATTGGGTGCAGCAACTAGGATGGAAGCAGCAGGAAGGATTGCAGGGCAGGATGATGGAGAGACTGGCATGTTAGTGCAATCACATGGGGTAGTAACGCAGGTTACGGAGGGCAGTAGTGCTAGGAGCTGTGGAGGGAAAGGGAAGGAGGTAGGATATGGTGAAGAATCTGCAGCAGGGGGATTGGTGGGAGTAGGTGTGGGTCAGACGAGGCAGAGAGAGGGAAGACATGGGGAAGTAACAGCGGCCTTTGCGGTGCCTCACAGGCCGTTTGGAGAGGGATCAAGTAGAGAAGTAGCAGCGAGCTTTGCGGCACCTCGGAGGCCGTTTGGAGAGGGATCAAGTAGGGCTGTGACATAATCAATAGACGATGCACGTGCAGGATCAGGGGCCATGGGGAGGGATTCATCTGCACTGGTTGGAGGGGAATGCGGAGGAGGAGAAAGAGGAAGAGGAAGAGGAAGAGGAAGAGGAAGAGGAAGGGGAAGAGGAAGAGGACGTGGGAGGGGAGGAGTAAGTGGAAGAACAGGAGAGGGGGGGAGAGGAGGAGGAGAAGGAGGAGGAGGAGGAGGAGGAGGAGGAGGAGGAGGAGGAGGAGGAGGAGGAGGAGGAGGAGGAGGAGGAGGAGAAGGAGGAGGAGGAGGAGGAGGAGGAGGAGGAGGAGGAGGAGGAGGAGGAGGAGGAGGAGGAGGAGGAGGAGGAGGAGGAGGAGGAGGAGGAGGAGGCGGAGGCGAAGGCGGAGGAGGAGGAGAAGCATTACTAGCAGCAGAAACATCAGCAGGCAGTGATAGTGGGAGCAAAGCAGGAGTATACATTCCTGAAAGAAGCTCCACTGTAAGCGGTAGTGACTCAAGCTTAGCCGCCCCTTCCTCCTCCTCCGCCCCTTCCACCTCTGCCAATTCCGCCTCTGTCTCTGCCCTCCCATCCACCTTTGTTGATATCTCAGTCCCTGAAGCTGCACACACCAGTGGCGTTCATATCCATGCCACTCTCCCCACTCACACCTCAAAATGCAACCCAGTGTTTATTGGTCCCACCCTGAATTGCCACTCAGCCCTACTGGCGGAGATGCCTAGTGCGATGATAACTGGACTGGGGATTTTGGGATTGGACCCACTGGGAGCAGATCTGGCCAGGTTTGAGGAGATGAATTTTGAGATGGAATTTGAGGGTTTGGCAGATGGTGAGGGGGAGTGGAGCTCTTTACTTGCAGAGCAGTTTGCACAGCAGCTGGGGGAAATTGACGAAACCGATGGGGCTGGGGGGAGTGGGGTTGGTGCTGCAAAAAGCAAGGAGTGGGTGGAAGGCAAGGAGGGAGTGGAAGGCAAGGAGGGAGTGGAAGAATGGGAGATGCTTTGAGATGAAGAAAGCAGTGGAAGCAGAGAGACTTCAGATGGGGAACGGGCAATGGAGGAAGGCGGAGCAATGGAGGAGGAAGAGGGTGCGATGGAGACATGGACGGGAATAGACGAGCATTTAACGTTGGAAATGGGGCCGCCTGATCGATACTTCCAGCTGCCCAGCGACAAGGATGTTCCTCACGATCTGCCCAGACTGCCCAGACTGCCCAGACTGCACCATCTGATCCATCATCCTCCCTATGGCACCAGCCAGGTCAACGGGGAGAATGGGGCGAGCAGGGTCAAGCGGTCTGAGGGGCAGGTGTGGCGGTGGGTGTGGCAGCAGCAGGACCATCCGGCCATCTAGGCGTGGAGCAGATGCGTACTCCAGTAGAAACCTCAGCACTGGCAGCGGGGCTGCACGCAGTGACAGGGGAGGATGCATTGGCAAGGCAGCAAGCATTGGCTAAGCCGCAATCAGCAGGGCTGCCAGTCCCAAGCGAGCCACGAGCCGCTTCATGGGGTTTCAGTGTAGAAGTGTCCGAGGGATTAATGGCGCCTGGTGGGGATAGTTTTCTGCAAGAAGCGAAGGAGGAGGTGGAGGTACCCTGCATGACAGGTTCAGCTTCAAGCTTGCCTTCAAGTTGGCATGCTGAAACGATGCAGTATGCGCATGCCATGATGCCTCCTTTTGGGCCGTTTCAAGGGCATGATCCCAGCGCGCAGATCATCAGCGCGTGGCATAATCCCAGCGCGCAGTGTGCTTTTACCATGACCCGCACATCATCAGTTGTTGTGATTCCGGACGTACGTCAACATCACAAGAGCCACCAGCAGCAGCAGCAGCAGTAGCATCACCAGAACCCACAGCAGCAGCAGCAGCAACAGTAGCAGCATCACCAGAACCTGTAGCAGCAGTGGCAGCAGCAGCAGCAGCTGGGACAGGAACAACAGCAGGGACACCAGCATGAGCAGCACCATCGGGAGCCACAGCAGCTGCATGCATCTAGCTTCCCAAGACGCAACTCTCTCAATCTCAACACTGGCAATAGAGGTAAGGCAGCTGCACAGTGTGCTTCGACCGACCTTTTACACCCTAGACGTTTGGAAGCATTATCCGTGGAAGAGTGGAGGGAGCAGCAGATGTTTGGAAGCCACACCCTAGACTCGGAAAGAGACAACATAAATTTCCATCCTTACAGTCCTTGGACCGAGCCTCAACCCAAGCCTGATCCCAAACCTCCATCCGGACCTGTACCTCTGATGCTCCGTAGCCACACTGTATGTTCTCCGCTGGAGCCACCGGTGGTCGGATTTTCAACCCCTAAGTCCCAGCCTTGTGTGGGAAACACAGGTAGTGTGAGTGGTGTGAGTGATGTGAGTGGTACAAATGGTGCTGATGTTGCTGATGGTATGGTTGTTGCTGGTCCAATGGATGGTGTAGCTGCTGCAGCTGCCAATGTGGGTAGTAGGAATGGCTTGGATACCCCAGTAAATGTCTCTGCCGGTGTGGCTGCCAATGTGGGGAGTGGGAATGGGGTGGATATTGCCGTGACGCCTACTGCCTGTGTTGCTGGTGACGCTGATGGTGCTAAACCTGTTATTGATGTGGATGGTATGGCTGGTGTGGCTGGTGTTGCTGGTGTTTCTGGTGCTGCTATTGTTGCTGGTCTTTCTGGTATTGCTGCCGCGCCTGGGGTGGCTGGGCTGACATCCTCTCCAGACTGCTCTCCCGAACCAATCTCGACCATCCCTCGGCGCAGGGTGAGGCGATCCCAGTCCCATGACCAGGAACCAATGGGAGCTGGGCAGCTGGGTAGGCAACTGCTGCGTGCGTCTACATTCAAGCCAATAATTCCAGCCAGCAAGTACGCGCAGGAGCTGCACAAACGACTAGAGAAGCAGCCTTGGATGCGCGCCAGGAGGCCCAGAGAAGGGGTGTTTCAGCAGAGGCGGATGGGGGGGCAGCAGAGGTTGTTGCTGGATGAAATGCAGATGGCACAGCAGCAGCATCAGCAACAGCAGATGAAGCAGCAACAGCAGATGCAGCAGCAACAGCAGATGCAGCAGCAATAGCAGATGTAGCAGCAGCATCATCATCATCAGCAACAACAGATGCAGCAGCAGCAGCAGCAGCAGCAGCAGCAGCAGCAGCAGCAGCATCAGCAACAACAGATGCAGCAGCAGCAGCAGCAGCATCAGCAACAACAGATGCAGCAGCAGCAGCAGCAACATCAGTAACAGCAGTCAATGCAGTGGTATTCTTCAATTCAGCAGCAGCAATTGAAGTTGATGCACCAGCAAGAGGAGCTGCAACTGCTGCAGCAGTACCAGGAGCAGCTCACTCGTTTCCAGCACCATCTGCTCTTCCGCAGTCAGTCCACTCCCCCCACGACACATGCTGCCCTCACCTCCTCTGCAATGACCTCTACTGTCATCACTACTGGTGGTGGCATCGCTCCTGGGGCAACTGCTGGCACTGCTGCTGGCACTGCTGCTGGTGGTATTGCCTCTGATGCTGTAGTCAGAGCAAGTGCTGCCACCGCTGCTGGCACTGCTGCAGCCACCGGTGGTGGTGGTGTTGCCTCTGGTGCTGTTGCCACAGCTGGTGCTGCCACCGCTGCAAGCACTGCTGCAGCCACTAGTGGTGGTGGTGTTGCCTCTGGTGCTGTTGCCACAGCAGGTGCTGTCGCCACAGCAGGTGCTGGTGATGCAGTCTTGCACTCGCACCATGTGCTTCTTTCCCCCGCCTCTCCACCCACCACCTTGCATGGATACAGCCACACAGAGACGTGAGGTGTTGATGCCTTGGAGCATCATGCCTCTAAGGAAATCAATGGCTACGAGACTGGCGGTGCTGGCAGCAGTGAAGAAGATGTTGTAATGCAAGAGAATGCGACAAAGGCCTTCAGGCCTGCATACAATGCTGGTGCTGCCGCCGACCAGTCCTGTGGCGACGAGCCGAGTGGTGACCAGGCGGGTGGTGACCAGTTGTGTTCTGCCCAGCAGCATGTCATCTCAGGCTTGAGTCTTCCTCTTCCTCACCCCTCAGCCAACTTGTCGCTCCTGAGAGACACGGAACACTCTGCTCTTGCTGCTCGGGGCCTCATCTCCCCATCATCTCGCATCCAGAAGACAGCCTGTAACAACTTCAAGAATCATGTCGATGCTGCCCCCTTTACAGAACATTTAGGAGTCACGAGAGGAGGTTTGGAGGTTGGAGGACAGGCTACAGGTACAGGAGGGTTGTCGTACATCAACTGCCAGACAGGCTACACAAGGACATCACAAAAATCTGTGCGTCTGGTATCATTCTTACCGAGGCCGAACATCGTAATCCTCTGGACTACAATATCTGCTTAGAAGAAATATTACAATTTATTATCACAATGTCAACGCGCATTTGCCAACCCCCAATTTCACTTTCCCAACCAAATATCAACCAGGCCAGAAATCTCTCCAACCAACCAAATTCGCCTCATTCAATCCAGCTCAGCATACCACTTTGTTCAACCAATCAAAGCCGGCATTGCATCCACCTCAACAAAATCCAGCCCAACCACCACCACTTGTGCCAACTAACCAACCCCATCCACACCACCTCCCTGCACTCTACCCGTTACGCTTGCACAAAAAAGGTGAAGTGGGGTCTCATTTTGTTATTCTAGAGTGCCTGTGACTGATTTTAGTTTAGTTCTTCCTTAGCACGTTTTCCAGTCTCGTTATCTCAACCGCCGCCATAGTCTCAACCGTTGCCATTGTCTCAACCGTCGCCGTAGTTTCAACTGTCGCCATAGTCTCAACCGTCCCAGAAGCTCGTTATTTTCTGCAATTGCCACGAGTGCGCCTAATTGGCTGTGTGTCTCTCCCCTCGTGCACTCCGTTTACTTTGTGTAGGTGTGTGCTCTGGGGTACATGTGCTTTCCTCGTTTAAATTCCTCTTGATCAACATGTGCAGGTCGAAGCCCAGGTCGCGCTGTTTTCTGATTAAGGTCACGTTAGATCCTTCTCTGTATTAGCGGGAATTGTTATCTAACGAATGTCGTTGGCTGTGTTTCTACTATCATGCAGTCCGTTTACTTGGTGAGGTCTTGTGCTCCGCGGTGCATATCTCTCTCCGCGTTTTAATTCATTGTTATCTCCGTGTGCAGGTCGTACGGTTTCCTTCAAGAAAGCGCTAGTTCCTACTCTTGCGCTTATCCGAACTGCTAGCTAATGAAACGCTTTCGTTTTTGTTTGTTTATTTCGCTGGCAGGCGGTTTTATATTTCCTAATAATCTCCGGTTTCAACCACTCCTTTTTCTGGTAAACATTCAATTTACATGTCACTGGTTTAAATTTCATGGCTAACTCTTATGGTGAACTACAGGGGTTGCTTGGTGATTTGCAGTAGGTGCTGTCTTTGGCCAAGACCATGCCCAAAACATGTATAGGGCGTAGATCACCCCCGGCAATAGGCGAGAGGAGTTCTATTTCTTTTTATCTGCCATTGTGTTATGGATATATTTTACATAATATTGGCGTTTCTACTAATGGAAAATCTGAACCCAATCACACAAGAATCATGAATTGTTAAAATTAATAACGTTTGTGGAATGTCCAATTATAAGCAGTATGAATTCAACATACAAACTCAATAAAGAGTAAAATGCAATGAGATCTAATCTCCAAAATCACTTCGAGAAAACTCGTATTAAACTTCAATGGAAGGTATTCAAGATGCAGCTTTGAACAGAGAAGCATTGCAGAAGCATTTGAAAAGCATTCGACAAAGCATTTGGAAAGCGTACTATACTTTCTCAAAAAAGCGTTTGAAAAAATACGTTTATAAATCATTCGACAAAGCTCCAAAGCAACTCTTTTCATCGGCTTTCTGGATGCAGGATTTTTGTGATGGAATTTCGAGCATGAAGCATCAACGACCCCTGGTGCTGAAACCTACACCGTTGATGCACTAGAGAGGTTCTTGATGGATCATGGGGAGCATAGGGAATATGAGTAGGGGTGAATTATATGTATTTTCCTCTTCTTTTTAATCAATAGGCATTTTTTTGTTGTCATTGATTTGTACTGTTTTGTGTGTGTGTGTGTGACTGAGTGTGTGACTGTGAGTGAGTGAGTGTGTGAGTGTCTGTGTGCGTGTGTGTGTGTGTGTGTGTGTGTGTGTGTGTGTGTGTGTGTGTGTGTGTGCGTATACATGCGTGCGTGTGCGTGTGTGTGTGTGTGCGTGCGTGTATGTGTGTGTGTGTGGATGCATGTGTGCGTGTGCGCATAGGAAATGACCATTGGAAAGGTATGATGGGCACCCGGGAGCGAAGGCAGCTACCACCGGATGCTCTTGGTGTGTGGAGTGCGTGAATGGGATTGCGTCTGCATGGTGGGGTGTGGTGTGGTGGGGCATGGTGGGGTGTGGTGGGCGTGGTGGGGGGAGGTAGCGAGAGCAGCAGAGCTGGTGAAAGAGGGGCTGGGGTAGGGGGATGGGGAAGGGGACATGGGGAATGCGAACTGCGGAGGACTGCGGAGGGGAAAGCGCAATGGGGATTGAGAAAGGGAAAATGGCAATTGCGGAAGGGGACAAGGGAAGGAGGAATCGGAATTCGGGGAAGGGGGAAAGAGAAAGGTCAGAAGGAAGGGAAAATGGGGAAGGGGAAAAAGGGAAGGGGAAACTGGGCAGTGGGCATGGGGAAGGGGGAATAGGAAGCAGAACTAAGAAAGTACGCATGTCATGTGATGGCATGGGATGGGATGATGGCTTGGGATGATGGCATGGGATGGCATGGGAAGGCATGGGTCATGGGATGATAATGGCATACCAAACAGCATTGGTGCCTGATGCTCTTGTTGCTGTCATCCCCCCTGCACTTGTGTGCACACATGGGGGGAGGGACGCACAGGGGGAGGAACACACAGGGGGAGCATATATAGAGGGAAGCACACACAGGGGGGGACACACACAGGGGGGGGCACACACAAGGGTGACACACACAGGGGGGGACACACACAGGGGGGGACACATACAGGGGGGGGCACACACAGGGGGGGACACATACAGGGGGGGACACACACAGGGGGGGACACACACAGGGGGGGACACATACAGGGGGGGGCACACACAGGGAGGGACACATACAGGGGGGGACACACACAGGGGGGGACACACACAGGGGGGGACACACACAGGGGGGGACACACACAGGGGGGGGCACACACAGGGGGGGGCACACACAAGGGGGGACACACACAGGGGGGGTCACACACAGGGGGGGACACACACAGGGGGGGAAACACACAGGGGGGGGCACACACAGGGGGGAGCATATATGGAGGGAAGCACACATCGGATTGGCATGATGCAAAATAAAGAATGTGAGTCGCTTGAAGCTTCCACGTCGCGCTCACGCGGTGACCACCACGACTTGGTGTGGTATGGCATGGCATGGTGTGGTGCCATGAGTAGCACGAAGTGACTTCTGAGTCGAGAAAAATGAGGTGACTTTTGAGGGGACTCAAAAGAGCTTCCACATTGCATTCACATGATGGCATGGTGGCATGCACAGCGCCACAAAGTGCTGCATGCATTTATTTTTCATTTTGGAATGCAATTGACGATCCTAACCACGCACCTATGGTGCATTCCGAGCCTACTACTCACGCACCTAAGGCCTGGAGGAGGGGCAGAGGAGGAGGCAACGAGTAGCCCACATATCTCCCTATGTCTTCCCATTACCTGAAAATCCCACGCATATTCCCATTATTCAAACATCTAACGCGTATTCCCATTATTCAAACATCTAACGCGTATTCCCATTATTCGAGCATCCCACGCATATGCGCATTCTTCAAGCATCCTCCGTATACTCCCAGTATTCAAGCATCCCACCGTTATGTTCGTCGTCACGATTGCGTCGCCCACGATGGATCGCAGGAACGTCGCAGAGGCTCGACATTCGCGGAGTTTTCGATAACTCGCAACAGCGTCGCTACCGTC